CGCGGGCTGGTTTTTCTCCATAACGACTCGACATAGAAGTGATAATTCTTTTTATTATATAGGAGACATGTAGACCTAGGACTTTAAAGGCTCGGATTTTTAAATTTCTCTGTTGCTAAAAATAAAAAAACTTAGATATATCATTTCTATTAGTACTTCGACTTTGAATATTTTTCGAAAAACGTTTTTAAAAATCAAATAAAGGGAAATTCAAAAATCGGCGCCTGTTATGTTCTAGCCCTAAGGATACTCTACAACTTGAAAATCGTCCGAACTTGTTAGCTCGTATCCTTATTGTGAAATCCTTGCCCGCGTAAAGGGTAATGAATTGACTAGAACTTGTGCATGTCTTTGGGATTTGGGAGAAATATTTTAACCATAAGCTAGTCTAGTCAAGACTAACATTCTCTGGAATTTTGGTTGAAATCGGATGAAAAATAGCAAAGTTCGTTTCTGAGGGGGCCTTAATATGTTATTTTATATCGGCTTAGGTTCTTTTTGTATATTATATTTATTTATTGATATTTTTCACTTGTAATATAAACTGCGTATTTATGATGCTGCTATTGATATCTTCATTTGTTTTTGTATTAATTATATGTAGGTATAAAGAAATCAGTGTTTCTTTTTATTTATTTTCTGTTATTTTTATTGACATAACTTCTTTTTTATTATTAATTGGAAAAATAAGTTTTGAAATTTAATATATGAAATAAAAGAATAGCAAGGTCTATTATATATTTTTCAATATGACAAACTAAACTATCTATGCGAACAATTTTAATAACATATGTGGCCCATGGGCGCCCATGGCCTGGGCCGATTTTTGGGAAGAAAACCATGGGTGGGCCGGGTTAAAGTTCGATAGCCCATGGGCTGACTTTCTTAGGCCCAGCCCAGCCCATTAGAACCCTTGACCCACACCTACATACCCAATTTGTTTTTATCAACTAAAAACTCGCATCAAGAAAAATTCGAACAGATATATCTGGTGTTATTTTTAGGGCACTTTAAACTTCGACTATTGAATACCACCTATTAGTGAAAATCCAATGTTTTAAATAAATTACATCATATATCCTCAAAAACACTTAAGAGACGGTCCACGAGAAAATCGAACATTTTTCAATAGAGCCATACTCTCGAAAAATTTGACCCCTATATTTTATGATTGGAAATGAAAGAGCAAAGTGAGAAACCTACAAATCCAAAATTTGAGCTCATTCTGACTTACCGATAAAAAGTTATGAAGTACAAACTGCAAGCACCCTCAACAGGTTTGGAAAAAAAATGTTTTTTTTTGAAAAATTTGGTAAGTCAGTATTTGGTCATTTTTTCCACAGTGAGTTCTCACAATCTTTTCGAGTAATATACCATATGATAGAGCGAATTTCGCTCTACAAAACTGCATATGTCATCTTCTCTTCACTCTTCATTTTGTAGGTACAACAATCGCAAAACTAGATCAACCCTACTGCTTTTTACGCATTTTTGTCTTGTTCTCTTTTCCATTGCAAGCTATATTTCTATGCTAATTCGAACGATCCCAGAAATGTTTTTATGGTTTTGGATAAAGCAAAGAAAGAGCTATCAAATGAATATTAAATGATTGAAATCAAAGTAGCACACGGTATCCATCCAAGCCACACAAGATATTCGACTACTATCTTGAAAACCATATTTTTCATTATTTTTCTGCACCATTCATGTATATATTAGCTCTGACTTTTCTTCCAATTAGGAATCGAATTGAGATTTATTTTTCACCATTGAAAAAATCATAAGATAGGTTATTCAAACATTTTGAACGCCAGTTATGTCATATGGATTAGTGATTCTTTTTTTCGGAATATGGGCAGTACAATAGCTATTTTATATTCAATTCATAGTTTGCTAAAGTAAATGAATTGCGTTTTTAAGACGTTCTCAGATGCTATATAATTTACTAATTTGCTTTATTTTGTTCCGAATTGCTTTCAACGAATGAACTCTAAAAACTCGAATACTATTATATACCCACTTGATCAATAAATCATAAATTAAATTTTGAGGAAAACCTATTTTATCTACTTTTCAATCTTGTACTAGCAAAATCGCAAAAACTATTTTATCTGCAACTTATTTTACTAAATGTCGGGCTACATTTTTATCTATTATTTCAATGTAGCATAAACTTGCTTACATTATTCACCCAGTGAAAAAATTTAGGATTAAAATCACAAAATACTGTGGTCATAATCGATTATAATCCGATTGATAATCAACTCTAACCAATTAGAAAGCAGTATTAATCGATTGATGTTGATTGAAAAAGTGATTTTAATCGTTCATAATTTCGATTTTGGAGCAAAAACATAGAGCTCCAAAGATGGATTATAATCGATTAAGATTTCCATTATTTAACTAAATAATCTGATTCAAGATTTTCATTATCATCAATTATAACCGAACAGAAAGATTTTCATTAATCACAATATTCGTTTCTCGTGAATTACTTTCTTCCCTTCCATGTAGCGAACTCATCAAAACAATCATTACTTGTTCGATTTAGTTTCAAATTTCATAAATACTTTTATGATGATTTGATTTCGCTTCTTACGTTCAACTGATCGTCAGTCGATCTTTCAAAAGCTACGCTCAAAATAGAATTTGAGAAATCTAACTGTAATACCCTTCGCATGTCGACTCGTAGTTTACTTCTCAATGTGGGGTGTGGGTGTGGGTGTGGGATGGGTGTGGGTGTGGGATGGGTGTGGGGGTGGGTGTGGGTGTGGGTGTGGGTGGGGTGTGGGTGGGTGGTGGGTGTGGGCGTGGGTGTGGCGTGCGTGATGTGGGTGTGTGGGGTGTGGGTGTTGTTCTTTTCTTAGCCCACACTTACACCCAGACCCCATCCCACATCCACACCCAGACCCCACCCCACACCCACACCCTCACCCACACCCACACCCTTCTTTTAAGATTTTTCCTAATGTGATAAGCCGCTATTGAGGCATTCAGTAATAAAGTTTGGAATATTGTTGAGACAATATCTCCCTATTCACGGGAGATATGACTACTTATTATCGAGGCATGACTACATACTCCTAAGGCTAGGCATCCGTTCGTTTCAATAATGATTCGACCAATAACTGCTATGACATATAATATCGCAAATCGCATTTCTTTATATTGTAGTCTCTAATTTGAAGAACTTCTGGGATGAGTTAAGTGAAGTTGAACGGATCGATGCATTACTTGCCTAGACAAACGCAAGGCGTATTTTCATTTATAAAAATGAAAAACGAGATGAACAAAGATACAAGGTTTCAGTGCGTAAATCAAGACTTCAGTTTTTCTGAAAAACTAATCAAGGTATCAATTGTGAATGAAGCTTGAGACTCGCAGGAATTTAAAACTAAGCTTAAATAGTTGAAAAGTGACTGAAGTGTGCAAATATAATAAGAGAGTAAGTGAAGGAAAAAAGCTCATTCGTTATCATTTTTACATAATTCGAAAATGATATTATCATGAGCATTTATAGTTTTCTGGACTTCAAGCAATAAAAAGTGTGCTTTATGAATATTAATCTATTGTAGAGATCAATTCACACGAAGGTACTCTTTGAAATTTTCATAAAGTGTAAGGTTCTTTTTTGAGAAGCCTATTTGAAAAGCTTCCCAAATTAGAATTTTAAAATTGATTTAGACATTAATTCGCAATATTCGTTCATCGATCGTAGTCTTTTTTGTTTAGGTGCCGGAAAATCATCACTTCTTCAGGCTCTCTTTCGACTTGTTGATCAATCGTCAACTACGGGTAGTATTGTCATTGATGGCATTGATATTGGGTGTGTTTCGCTTAATCAACTTCGTTCTTATTTAAGCGTTATTCCACAAGTACCAATATTATTCTGTGGAACGCTTCGATATAATCTTGATCCGTTCACAGAACATTCTGATGAAGAATGTTTAAGGGCATTTGAAGCTGTTGAACTCAAACAATTGGTTTCTAAGCATCCCGATGGACTTAGTCAAATAGTAGCTGGAGAACGCCAACTGATCTGTGTAGCACGAGCTATCCTCAAGAGAAGCCATATCTTGCTTATCGATGAAGCAACAGCCCGTGTTGATCATGCAACTGACAGTATGATTCAAAATGTTATTGCAGATGAGTTTGGTGATCGTACTATATTGACGATTGCACATCGATTGAACACGATAGCAAACAGTGATCGTATTCTTATGTTGGAAAAAGGAGAAGTTGCCTATTTTGATGTGCCTAGTAACATTGATCTAAGTTAATGCAGTTGCAAAACATTTCTAAGTATCGACGAATGGTTATCAGATGGATGAGTGCTGATCAAATGCTTTTTTTTTCTCTACTCTCTATCCTCGTTGCTAGATATGAATGCTTGCATTATTCTTGTCATGTAAGGTGCTGAAAAATAGTTAAAAAAGATTACGCTGCAGTTTTATCAATAAAACATGTACCATTTGATAGTATGTATCGAACTAAGTAGAAACAAGTTAGTTTCAACTTTTTGAAATAATCTTTTTACGTTGAAAAGTCTACAAATTTTATCAAATGGAATCCTGAATCATCTTTCTTGTTAGTTCGATGTGTTCTTTTGAATGTTACGTGATATATTTTGAACAAAGTATTATTTTTTGTTTTCGGTTGCTTTATTTCTTTCATGTTGAATGTCGCTTTATGTCTTCCTTGTCATTCTCTTGTTTTTATCTATGCGGAAGTCTTCGATTTTTTTTTGTGCTATCATATTACATAAAACTTTTAAAACTTAACAATGAGTTTATCTCTTTATTTTTTATTTGAATATGATGAACAGTATCACAGAAGCTATCTATCAAATCTGTATTGATAGGCTATTCGTTGATTTCAACTATCAAGATAATATCAATTATCTGTTCTGTCCACATCTAGATATTTCTTAAACATAAATTTTGTATTGATTGTTCGTGGTCGTGTCTTGAAAGTCGCTAAAGAAAAATACGAAAAAAACATGTTTATTCCTAAAATGTAATGAGAATTGTGAGATTGTTGTTTATTGATGGATTACACTTCACTAGAGTTGACTTATAAAATTTACTCGATTGATATGGTTGTCTATAAATAAACGTTTATCAAGCAATTTATTAAAAAGGTGAGAAACGGTTGATAGTTGATAAGGGTGTGGATGTGTGCCTTCATTTCACCCAAACTCAACCAATCAAACCGTTAAAAAAGTGTCATTAGTCGCCAAAAGAAGTGTTAAGTCTTTTCATTCAGAGTAAAATTTACGTCCAAAATATCGAGTTCTTCAATAGCTATCTCTATTTCAAGGACCCAACAGTAGGTCGATTTTTCCTCCAAATTGAGTGATACACATCTCGAATTTGCGTCAAGATATAGCTAACACACGTCGCTAATACTTAAGAAACGCCGATTTTCTAAATTGTTCTTTATCAATTTTTCGTAGCAGTTTTTCTTGAGAAGTTCAAAAAAATGAAGGTACTTCTATGAAAAAGCTTCTATTTTTCTCAAAAACTAGGTCAAAAATAAAAAGTTCGGCTTTGATAAGATGTTGAGCATCATTTTCTCTTCAATTTAAAACCTTCCCCAGTTTTCTGGCATACAGAATAGCTAAGAAATCTGGGACGCAGAAACAAACAAAAACTCCTTTTGAGAAAAACAACAATCAAAGTTGAACTTTGAAGAACCTAGGTTTTTCCATTCTAGAGCAATTCACGAGGGATTACATTGAGGGGATGCATGAAACACACTTCCTAGAGTATGCGGGATATATTCTTCAAGTCAGAAGCCTGTTTATGAAGTCGTAGGATTTCATTAACTAAAATTTAACAAACATTTTCTGCTTGTAAGTCTTTCACAAAACCTCTTGAAAATTGTGGAAAAACATCAGAAAACCTCTCGAAACCATCCTAAAGACTATGAATAATGGTGATTCTGAATGTAGCAAACGTAGGTCATTTGACCATGTAGAAAGCTCAAAAATCGAAATTGTTGACAGGAAAGCCTTAAGATAGTGCAAGTTTATGTAACTCTGAGTATTACAAAATCAAGAAGGTGTGAAAAAAATGCCATTTTGGTCATTATCATGTCTGCCTATGAAAAGATAGCTATCGTTATAATTTTTCCTGTCATTTTTCTAATATTTGTACGCTTACCAAAAATTTCAAAGAGTTGTTTTTCTTTTGTTCATGATTATTTCGATATTATCAAGAAACTCATCATCAGTTGAGTGTAAAGTGATGCTTCGTATCTTATGTTTCATCGTCGAATATTTTTAGAACTGTTGAAACTATTTTATTGTTGTCTCGACGCGAGCAAGCATTGGAAACTGTGAAAATTGCATTATCATAAAGAAATTAAAAAAGCACGATATAGGAACAGATATATTAAGATTGAACATAGTTAGAAGAACACGAAGTGTAACAGGGACACAACGTGAAACTTATTGTATCTTTTTAAGCATCTCCTAAAGACATAAACTATGCTGACTGAATAAAACCGATTGAAATATAATAGTCTGAGTGTGGCCATGAGTCTACCATATCCATATTCATCCCTGCCAGCAAACAAATGCTGTACCATGAGTAAAATTTCGAATAACATCTAGTGATGGTTCACAATCTAAGTTGTCCATTATTTTAACGGTATGCATTGCAATTATAGAAAAGAACAGAAATGAGAATGTTGTGCAAGACCTAAACAAACACGTGCAATATACATATGCTCGTATCTGACAACCGAACACGTAAATGTTCGTTTTTTTTTCGAGCCTGTGTAATTACACCACATCAAACCTGTCCAAAAAGTATACTTTTATTCACCTTATTGTCTACTGGGGTCGGCGCTTCGCTTGTCAGTTACTTCTAGAAAAATAGTCACTTTTCTTAAAGTTTCAAAACATACGCGCAACTTAGACGGCAACCACAAGAACAATTTCAACTGGGCTTTCAAGGGTCAACTAGATGCCATCAAACTCTGTGAGTAACATAAAAACTGCTCGCGCTATCCGATCCCAACTTTTTTTCTTCTAGCACTCTGCAATTTAATTACAAGGTTAATTCCAATTGATGGCTCACTATCACAAAAATCCAGCATTACAACGTGGTTGCTGAGAAGATTATGGTTTTTTTTGCACATCTTATTAGTACACCATAAGATAGATTTTAATCATTTTTACCGCAAGCGTTTTAGTCATAATTAGGACACTACTGTTATGCTACTCGAAGAAAATTTTCTGGCTTATACTTAGTTTACAAAATTCTTTGACATATAGATAGAGAATGGATCATTTCTCATCGAAATGTATGATTTATCACATGATGATAGAAATCATATTGAGTCTTGAAAGTACGATTCACATTTTTTATTTTTCTTGCGTTAGATTTTTTCATAGGTTAAAGGTAACTAATGAATATAATTCCAGTGACTTAATTGTAAAAACAATACGGGAAGTTTATATTCACTTATAGAAAAAAAATGAAAAGATTTAGGAAAAGAAGAAGAATTGTAAAGTAAACTATTCAACCAGCGGAAGTAGCAGTAAAGATGGGGTGTGAGTGTGCATCAAAACACTATCGCATTCAATTCACATCCGCAACCTTTTTTAACTAATTCATTTTGATTTTCATTATTATGATCAATATCCAAATAAGTAAAATAATCAATTGAAGAGAATATATATAATGTTTTGATGATTAAATGATAACGATGATTGAAAATCAATAATATTAATACCTTCTATTAAAAATAAATACATATATTTTAATAAAAAAAAAAACAGTATTATTTTTATTTACGATGATAACATTCGAAGATTTGTATGTGTTAAAAATTTCGATAAAAGTTGATAGTTTACACTAGAAAAAATTTTTCAAGATGATTAATCATTGAATCTGATATTATAGCTATTGTATAATCTTGAGAAAATTATGTTAACGAGTATCAGATTTTTTGATAATAATATTTTATAGAATATTTATGACTTGTTGATGATGAACCAGTATTAACATAACTAAGAATATTATTTATTGAGATTTTTCAGATTGAATGATGGAACGATGGTGATAAAAGCATTTTTTTTACAGTCAATACAATTATATCCATCAGTATCATCTTCAAGATAGTATTATTCAAAAAAATATATAAATGACAAGAGAACCATTCGATATGATAGATGATTTTGAAAAGTACTTTTAGATATTCTTTCTAGAGTTATAGCTACTTGCCTGAAATTTTGGCTTTTCCCACGTTAAGTATAGAATATTTCCTTCATGAGATGTTCCTATCTTTCTTAGTATATTACTTGTTGTTAGAATTAGAATATTTCATATAGGAAACACTTTTTTTAACTGAAATTTTCGGCATTTTTTAGATATAATTAGATCTATATGTCGACAAAACCTTATTTTGACATTCTAATATTCAATTCTCAACTAACTACCAAACTTGAAAAGTCGTAATTCAAATCAAATGGCTATAACTCTGGAGGTGAAGTCTAAGAATATTTACTCTTTGGAGGTGATTTTTCGTAGCTCATTGGGGGCCAATCTGATGCACAGAGTCCGAATCTAACAACGACTTCTTACTTCGAAAAGTTTCTTGGTGAGATTATGATTCTATTTAAGTTCAATTTAAACATGCTTTCTTAAAATCTACATATTTTTTGAAGAATTTCTAAAATAAAAGATTTAATTTCATTTAAATTCTTATTTCAATTACAAGTAAATTTCTATGTTTAGCATAAACAAGTTTTTATCATTTATCATGTCTTAGATCAAGTACATATTACCCATTAACTTGAGCTAAAATTCGTTCTGAACGAAGACTAATTGCTTGAGCTCAGCTTTCTCAATAAACATATTGTACAGCAATTTCCTTTTTGAGAGAAATATTAGCAATATTTTATTTTAATACACAGAGAAAACAATCAATAACGTAAATGTTATAGTGAACATTTTGATTTAAACTATTCAATTTTTGATCATTGAAGAGTATTTTAAATGCATAGTTCAATCTAAGTATTAATTAAATTACACATATAAATAAAAATCTAGTCAAATAATCTAGGAAATTTTACTAATCAAAAACTGATCTCAGCCCAGGCACGTTCAAATTATATGAAATTTTCAGAATATATTGGACCTTTATTGAAGAGGCTTTGATGAAATTCCCAGTCCTCTATACTACTTCGTTTGACAGAGCATGTCAGGATATAGTGCATGATGAAAGTTTTTTTTGTAACTTACTTTTTAAGCATAAAAAAGGGATCACAAGTTCACAGATTCAAAAAACACTAAAAGTGACACTCTGATCATTGAAGCGCTTTTTGAAATAATAGAAACAAATCTCAGTTTAGAAAAAGAACTCTATCATGCTCTGTATCTGTAAATGCTTTTTCAAACAAAAAAAATTGAATATATAGGATGAGTTAAGACAGAGAAATTTGAGATAGGCGATCGACAAATCATAAACGTAGAAAAAACAAAAAACATTTTTCACTTTATCTCAAACATACTTATTTTTCAATGGAATTGATCAAAAATTTTGGTAAAAAAGGACATGACAAAAAAAGAAAATTATACTGTTTCTGAAAGACTAATCGCTTCCTATGGATTAAAATGGTCTTCCATTGGTTATAGACGATTTTTAGACGAATGATTATTATCGATGAGAGAACTAAATCAATTCTGGTGGATTAGAGTCAGTATCAATGGATTTTAATCAAGAAAAAATCATCAACTACTAATGAAAATTGATTTTAATTGATTAAGAAAAAAATCGTATCTAAACGATTATATTATCTATTCATTGATTTTATTCAATAAAATTAGTGATTTCGATTTAAATGTGTGAAATAATCTATTATACTCTTCCATTTAATCTGAAAAATCACATTTCTTGAATTTTCATCGAATATCTGTGCTTCAAAATCGATGAAAGTCATCTACATGTTGATTTTCTTGTTAAATTTATTTTAACATGAGTAGTATAAAAAACGATTGTTTTCTTTCATATGTAAAATGGATGTTTGACGCTTGGTTCTATCAGAATCAACAGTATTAAAGCAGCATATTATTGCTTGTGAAGCTTTAATATTTTATCCATCCTGTACAATGGTGGGAAAAAACCAAGTAAAGACATGATATAGTGCATACTTTTTTTAATCTTCGATTTACTCACTCTCTTTCAGTTGACTCAGCTGCTTGAGCGATGTATGAGTAAGAGAACAAGTGAAAAACGGCAATATAGGTATGAAACAAAAGAGATAAATATATATGAGCATATACTATTTTACCTATACGGATGAATGCCCACAAAACAAACATATTTTTTCGATGCCTACATAAGCAACATAATGCTTTCATTCTTTTTACATATAACAACGTCGATTTATTACACTATTATTATGCCCATCAATATAGAAGATTTCGAAAGAATACATTAAGAAAACGCAAGTCTTTTGAAATTGCATTCCATTCAGAAGACCTTTTTCATTATCAATATCCAGCGAACTTTGCTATCCTTAAATAGTGCAACTAAGCTTGTGGAATATTATCTTCATATCATAGTAATTATTTTCCTGTCGACCAAAAGTGTAGGAAGTTCTGTATGAAATAGATAGCCGATATGAATTCTTGTAACACCATTCATCTCAGTAAGAGTCTAAAGCAAGAATTGTCAATACATTTTGTAAATTCTACCGTAGCAAAGAAAACTCTTCGGCATTGTATTCTTTTACCATTCGAAAAGATTTGATCTCGCTGAAAATAAGATATAATGCTGTATAGAAAACAAGTGTTTCAGGAAATTTTCGTGGAAGAGGTTCTCTTCAATTAGGTTTTTGACGATAAAAATACTTAGGATATTGTCTTTAGAGTGAATAGTTTTAATTGAATAATATCTGTTTTTGTAATGTCAACAAAATTCGAAGCGGTAGATCTTAGAACCAATGTATTCCACCTAAAAGGCCTCTCTAGTTAGAATGATCCAGAGAATTTTCAAGTTACAAAAATCACAAGAGAGTCTACAGAAAAAAAATACTCTTCAAAGGTCTAGAGAAGTGATAGCTATAGACAGAAAAGCAGTGAAGCCAACTTAAATATGCTGCAACAGGAGATATCGACAATTTTTATGGACCAATATAGCTCATTTATATTTATATGCTCTTGTTTCAATACTGTAGGAACAAATTAAAAAAAAACATTTTCGTTGAGTTTTGAAACCTGTACTCTGTAATTGCACATCAGAACTCTTCAATTACAAGTCTATAGAGTTAAATACATACTAGTTTTTTTTTATAGATTTTCCAAAATATCCTTGGTTTTTTTCCCGTATTTTTCCAGTTTTTGGAAAATATGGACAACTTGTCGTAGTAGTTTTTTTCTTAGAGTAAGCTTTTGATTTGCACAAATGTCACTAAACTAAAGTAAGCAAGACTAGAAGCATTTTGAAACAATTTTATTTCGAATAGTTTATGGGTTGATAGTAAGGGAAAGCATCCAAGACAAAGACTAATTTTTTTGACAAATAAATTTTCTACTTAAAAGCTTTTTCATGCTGCTTCAGTACTAGCAAAAAAAACCCGAGTCAGTATCAATGAAAGCACTTCGAAAATTATTATTGATAAACTTTTTAGTATTACTATGGTAAGTTGTTTCTTTTATATTTGCATTGACCATTTCTGTACGACTTTGTAAAAAATTCAATGCTCAGTGTTTTTAGAAAAAAAATCCATTCTGAAACAATAAAAATTGACAGAGATATGTGCAGACATCGTATGTGAGTCATGAAGAGTTTCGTTGTAAGAAAATATGTAAATGGACAGAATGAAAAAAAAGAGGCTCTGATTGGAATTCGAACCGCAATACTACTTTTATCTCGACAGATGACTTAAAATAATTAGACTTTAGAAAGGACATTGTAGTCTCCGTTGAACGTTAGAGTGTACCAACACCGACGCCAAGTTAATTTCCATGTTAATTAAAAGTTTTCTGCTAATGGTAAAAGAAAATTTAGACATTTGGGGTGTCAGTGTGGGTCCCAGAGAAGACAAGATATCTATCGATACACTAATGTTCACACTTACATCCACATCCACATCCGCAAGTCGGTACTGGTTAAGGTTCCATAGGAAGATATTAGAACTTGAGATTTTTGGGTTTGTGATTTTAGATATTGATGCGTTGAATGAGTAAAAACTTCAAAAAGATTTTATCAAGTACCTTGTATACTTGATACCATTATAGACGCTTTCTTAAGAGGAAAAAGTCGTAGTTATGCGTAATCGTCATACTTGCATCGCCATGACACTTGATGAAGATTTGAACTTCCTATTTCCAACATAATTATATCGTGCTTCATTTGTAACTCTGCAAAATTGCGACGTTTTCACGTATAGTTTTCATCAAAGATTCGCATTTGCGTTTAGTTGTATGCAAGAAACCAATTAGTGTTATGAGGTTACTATATCAGGATTCGATTGTAATCGGAGACATGGAACATTTGTTATTTCTCTGAAAAACTTAGAGTCACTGCGCTTCGGATGAAAAATTACTGATGGAAAGCAATCTTATATCAATGATTTTATAAACTTCTTATTTCATTAGTTTTTAGACGAAAGCTCTTTGACAGTTTCACTTTTAAAACAAGATATCAGTCATCAAACATACTTGCTGCTGCGACAACGTACACAAAACGTAAAACATCACATTCAATCCAATAACGGTATCACGCATGTAATTATTAATGCATTTTTCAGATGCGCTGTCTTTGACAATAATGAAGAATACAGTTTTCTCATATAAATAAGCGTATTTTTATAAGAGAATTCGCATGCTTTCTGCTAAAACACTCGTATACAACACAAGACTCAGGATCTTTCGTTGTGTTTCGGCGTACACACTTCTTTAAGGAAATCGCCTATCATGCATAGTTATCTAATATAAATTTCTATCCATAAAGGACCAAACATCTTTCACACATTTTTGTACAGTATATGATTGTTTTTCAAATGTAAAGTAACAATACAGAAAGAATCAGACAAAAGATGAATTAGAATAGAATTTCACTGTTTCATAAATTTGAGATCTTTTTTCTCTTTCTTAACCATCATTTTCAGAATGGGTTGGTGAATAATTCCTTCTGAGACACGTTCACTCTTCAACACTCACATATAACATAAACCTTCAACATAACAACGAACACAATTATTTTTAAAGAACAATTAAATGTTGTGACCAAAATAAAAAGATAATTTTGTTGTCATGTCACGAGTATAGGGAAGTTTAGCAAAGAAACATTGCTCTTTTGTTATAGCATCAATAGAGTTCTATATTAATCAACCTGTATAGAAACATCTTTAGTTATAATTTATGGACTAAATGGAAGAAGAACATGAAATATTGTTGCAATTAAATACGAACCTTTAGAAATTATTTTTAATAGAGTTGCTATGTAAAAAGAATTTTTCGAATTGTATTCAAATTAAAAATTGATTGAGTGTTATACAGAAGAGAAAGTAACATGTTCATCTCTGATATGCTAAGGAATGGTTGTGATCTATATCTTCATTTTTTAGTTCTCACGAATTTATATTAATTATAAACACACTATATATATACACCATTCGACAGTTTTTGATATGAAAATGTTGGCTATTTTAAATTTTCCAATGATGACAATGCTGCTCTTTAGTATTGTTTATTCATCAACAGGACTTATTCCGCAATGTGGCAGCAATAGAAATTGTTGCAAGACTGCTGGTGCACTTAAAAATGCTAATTTTATTGGCAAAGAGAGAAATATTATGACAGCAATAGCCTATTATGAAAGTGTTTGGGGTTTACGTAAGGGTCCGAATAGAAATCCAGACGGTAGTACAGACAATGGCTTATTTCAAGTTAATAGTTATACATGGTGTAGTTCATCAGGAAAACAAAATGATTGCTGCTGTCCAGGAACTTTTCCTAACTGTCGAAAAAGTTCAAGATTACGTACATGTCGATGCGGATGTCGCCTTAGTTGTTCACAAGCAGTATCAAATAATGCTTTAAATATTCAATGTGCTAGAATTATTCTCGGACGACAAGGTTATAGAGCATGGGCAGGATACAATGCCCATACTGCTGAATGCAACTCATACGATATATTTAATGGTTTATGTTCTGCTGGAAGTTGCTGTTCAGATATATTTCCCGGTTCTGTTTGTTGTCCTCAGTCCAATCCTCGTAAGCAAGGTTGTTGTCCATCTACACACAAAGTATGTTGTCGGGCACCTTATCAAAGTACTTGTTGTTCTGCAACATATCCCGTATGTTGTGCACGTGGTTGTTGTCCAGCAGGAACACATTGTTGTGGAACAAACCAATGTTGCTCCCAAAAACGTAGCTATAGTATAATATCGAATCAAACTATAGCCAAACCAGTATTAAATATTGAATATTAAACTTAACTCGTCTAAATGACTATTAATCAAGAAATTTTTACCCTTTCATAAGTTATGACAGTGATTTTTTTTTTCTGAAACATATTCAAGAAAACTCATCTGATTTCCAATTCTGACATTACTATTCTAGCTAAATATCCAAGCTCTCATCAACTAATTCTTTTTCATATATTGATTTGTCTTTTGTGTTATATCTTTATCAGTTGTTAACATTTTTTCTTTTGCCTTTTTAATTTATTTTTATTTCTCTTTTCTACTTTGGTGGAGGCATCATATTTATCACTCGAACAAACCAGCTTTGCACTTACTATACTTTGTACTAACATACGACTATGTATCCATATCTTTTTCTTACTCTCATTTATATTTCTTTCCTTTCTTGTATATAAATATTAACTATTCAAGCATAAATAAAGCGGATACTAGATATAAAAAAATTCTTATTCTGACATGTATTCAATAATAAATAGCTATTTAAATGAGTGAGCCGGGTAAGTAAAGCTACCATGATCACAATTCCGATCATCTTTTGTGAGACGACCATGGGCAGGTAGACTAGAATGAAGAAAATACTCACACCCATATCCAACTTGCTATAATACTATCTAGCTAAAAGAGTTTCTATGATGAAAGACTGTGCATTGTGATTTATGTTGAATAACAATGTTCATTTTACTATGCGAGTAAATCATATCTGTTAACAATTATCTACGAGACAGTACGAACCTAATTATTGTCAACGCCATTTTTCGGCAATGATAAAGAGCGTTATCAAGCGCTTATCCTACATTACACACGTAAAGAGCTTTGAGCTTGAGTGTGCCTCAGCAGTAGATGATCATCGTAATCAGACTATTTGACACATTGTTTACTAGTCGTATTTGGTCGTTAAATAACACTGCTTTTGCCTTATTCTTATCTCTTCTTCGAGACTTCTAAGCATGGCTATAGAAATAAATGCATCAAATACACCGGATATACCCAAATGATTGCAACACATTTATATTGCATTTACTTCAGTATAGAAAAAGGATATAATCTTGATTTTTTTCTGAAAGACACATCACTGAATTTTTTACAATCTTCTATTAACATCAATTTAAAAAAATAGACATAAATTAACTTTTTGATATGTCATATGGCGAGATGTTTGAACTACAGCCACTTCCTATATATTATTTCTACTAATTCATATTTTTATACCAACAAATATATAATTTCCAAAGCAAGACTAACCAATAAATATTTTTCGGAAGGGTGGATGTGAAGGGAAACAGTTGAGACTTCGGAGTGTAGGTGTGAGACTTTGTCTTCTCTTGACCTACACCCTAAACTCCATTCACACTTACACTCTTTTGAATGTATGATAATATTGTCTTATGACGAACTTTTCTTGGGAATATTGTTGAAGCTGAACATGTGTCATGAAATAAACCTTTAAAGATCGAGACTATTTCTAAATGAACAATAGGTTGTCACAAGTTTCTAATTTTACTGGAAATGGTTACGTGTCGAAGAAAAGTATGATGAAGCATTCGGTTTTGGCGATCATGATTGTGCCTAGTCTATCAAAATGAAAGAATTAAAAAATAGGATCAATTTCTTGCTAAAAGAGCCTTAGCCTAAAAAAAATAACCTTGGAAACACAAGAAATACTTGCGATTGATCTCTTTTTCACTACGCAATCTCAATAATGTCTACCCTTATCAAGCTCTGGATCCACTGAAAGAAAATATAGCACATAAGACAGAAAGAAAAATCTCTCCATTGTTGCATGATGAAAAACTATTACGCTTCATCATATTATCGCTTTTTACCTTACCGTAGTTACTACCTATCAAAAAATTGCTTTCCAGAAAAGAATAGTTATTTTAATTTCGCATTATTGTTACGGATAAAAAGTAATTTCATCTTGCCAATTATCATAACATTTTTCTATTGCGTTTGGAATGGTAGCGAGAATCGTTGAGCTAACCATAGGACACTTCATTCTATCAATTTTCGAGAAAGCTTAGGAAAAAAAGAGAAAATAAAAATACTTAGATATATACCACAATTCCAAGCTCACAAGTCTCTACATTTATTGCATTTTAAGGTTTGTTTGAGACTAGTGGCACAGTAGTTTTTAGACGGAATTCGAATTCCCATTCGAACATTTTCAAACAATAATTTTACATGACTTGCAAATGACTTCACTTACGAGGAACACTGTACTCGTTTGATACAGGCATATTGGGACTAAGCATGTTCATGTCCTGCACTAATAAATTCGCGTCATTAATATCAACAGAGTAGTTTCATTATTGAACATAGATCCTATTTTGACAAACCTTGCAACTTCTTTAGCTGATGAAATTTCTAATGTTGTCCTAGCAACAATTGATGGCAACTGTCATTGTGCATAAGAATGAGTAGAGGACGCATTAACCATTACTTCTTCAATGGTTATATTCGATTATTCTTATAAGTATTAAGTTCAACTAAGTTTAGTGCTCAACGATCGCATTTTGTGCTCATCCTTGGCAGAAAACAGTTTAATAATTCAACAGAATCGTTACTTATTAAGCAGACTTAGAGATATTAAATTCCGTCTGTTATTCGAGGTGTGGATGTGACCCAGTGACTTATATAATAAAAAAGCTCATGATCTTCGTAAATGTTTTGTCAAAAATCTGAAAAAAATTGTATTTTTGATGATGAAAGAGACATAAACTTTGATGTTTTTTTCAAATTCATTGATTAAAAATGGCATTATAATTATGCAATGAGCTGGATTAAAAACTAAAATCATGCAATGATTTTAATGTTTAATCCGAATTTATTGCATGATTTTCATTAAGAATCAAAGTAACTGAATTTTTTTAAATTAAAATGTCGCTTTTAATCAATGAATATGGAAAAAAATCCAGATTTACGTCCGTTTCATCATCAAACATGCAATATTTTTCAAGTTTTTGACGCAAAATTCACGAAAGTGATGGAATTTTGTGGTTTCCTAAGTAACTGACTGAGGTCGATATGGCTATAGTTTTTAGTGTTGGCATGAGTGGAATGGGGTGTATATCGTCACTTCAACCACACACACCCACACTCACATCCACATCCTCATAATTCAACAGAGAGAAGAGTTCAAGAAGTACAAATAATTATGGTGTGAATGCCGATGAAGCGTGGTTGTGCATGTGAGTATATATCTGGCTTTACGCCTAGATGTCAATTGTGGTTGCGACTGTGAGTTTTGGTTTACCTACTCATAACCACTACATCCACATGCGTAATCTAGACATACATTCAAAAAGGAAGGCAATTTATTGTAGTAGTTAAAAAAAATTACAATCTGTTTTTCACCATTTCTATATTTTTTTTCAATTCTACAATATGTGGATGCGTTTGAGAAAGAGTCTTTTGACTGATCTCCAGATCTTTTTCGTAATATGTAAGTGATTGTGAATAATCGCCCATATTAAAATATACAACACCGACGTTGCTGTAGAAAGATGCCAAGTCAGGATGATTCGGAGGGAGAGCTTTTATCTTGATTTCCAGTGATCTTTCGTGATATGAAAGTGCTTTCGAGTATTCGCCCATCCTATCATATACTGCACCAATGTTCATATAGGAAGTAGCTAAGTCAGGATGAGTCAATGGAAGAGCTTTTTCATCGATATCAAGCGCTTGTTTATACAATGAAAGTGCTTCTGAGTACTTGCCCATGGTAGCATACACATTACCAATGTTGTGGTAGGAAATAGCCAAGTAGGGATGAAGTGAAGAGAGAGCCTTTCGACTGATCTCCAGATCTTTTTCGTAATACGAAAGTGCTGTTGAGTATTCACCCATGTTAGCATATACCGAACCAATATTGCTGTAGGAAAGAGCCAAATCGCGATGATTCGAAGGAAGATATTTTTTTTGGATTTCAAGCGCTCGTGCATAATATGAAATTGCTTTCAAGTACTCGCCCATGTCATCATACACCGAGCCAAGTAGAAGATTATAATCTGCTTGATCTTTATTAGAAGATGCTTTTTCGAGGAGGATCTGATAGAGCTGTTCTGCTTTTGAAAACTCGCCAATTTTAATAAGGATGAAACCCAATCGAGACAAACCTTGTGCTGCTTTCAACTTGAGCTCTTCTCGTATACTTACTGTAAGCGTGTTTAGATCATGGTTGTTGTTGCCTATAAGAGTGAGATTGACTTTCCACAGCCGGTCAGTTTGATCATCTTGAATTCGTTTAATATCTTCGATGCGAAAAACTGTGTGTGTTGAAAAAAGAATTTCTTCTTCTTTATCTTTGAAGGCGCCCACATTTTTCACGTCAGCAAAAGGAATTGATGATTGTGCACATAATGTCCGATCTATGGTCATAACGAAGAGTATGCCAACTGAACTGGGATCACGGAGTGCTGCTGGTCGTGCAAACCACTCAAGAGCTCTATTATAGTTTCGACTTGTGGACAGGAAGTTGTTGAATGACATAAGTCCACCTTTTGTTTTTTTAACTTTGTCAAAATCTTCGAGTGATAAACGTTGACCTCGAAACACTTCAAATACAGCAATAGATGCCGTGTTGGTGGATTGTTGATCACGATGTAAATTTTCAATATCTTGATGTAATTGTTGAATAAAGAAACCCATTTTTAGTATAATGTCAACCTCCATCAGTCGAAGACTACGATTGAGCATGGGGTAAATAAAGGTTTCAGCCGTATACCACCAAATGGATTTATCACTACGATATTCGCGCTCGAACTGATCGATTTCTTCTTCATCAATATCTTCTTCTTGACAACGACAAAAATCAACAAATTCTTTAACAGACTTTGTATCATCATCTTTAATTTCCAATAGAACTTCTTTCAACAATTGTGTATACATAAATAACGGATCGATGCCATTAAAGCTGAGCGAGATCATGGCTCGATCACAGTCTTCACGATCGGCTTGTAATGCTTTACAAATCGCTTTAATATCTGTGTAAACACCTTTTATCTTAGGTATTGTTTTGGCCCACTGTTCATGAACCGATTTATCATCACAAAACACATAAACAGAATCCAATTGTGGCAATGCTTGAATTTCTGGTATTATACGCTGTCCCAATGACCCAGATACAATTATAAATGCTTTTTCTTCTTTAATTTTACGGAGAAAATTGACACATTCGTTAGCATCGGTGAACGTCCTGATTGATGCCACAATATGTCGTAGATGTTGAATTGATTTCTTGAAATCTTCTTCAGATTCATTAAAATTGGCATCAAGCCAGATCAGAAGAAAATTTTGTAGAATACGATGAAGATGTGTCGGTAGCACAGTAATACTATCTGTGGTGGTCATTGTTGCTCGGCCACTAGCAACAGTTGCTGTCGATATTTGGTTATCCATCATGGATCGATGAATGAATGCAATAAGTAACACGTCGCTCACCTATATATAATTGTATATAATAGTTTATTCTTTCTGTTGACACTTTTTTTTGGCTGGTTGCTATAGACTTCAAGGACTTCTTATTTCAATCATTCGTTTGTTTCAAGAGTACTGCTGACTAAATAATAATGACAAACTGGCGGAGCCTTCGTACATAATGCAAAAAGCAGGGGAGAGCGAGAACGAAAAGGAATATTATGCATACACTCTTGTCCTTCAAAGAAAAGAAAAAATGAAAACTCATAAATAGAATTTTAGTAATAATGTTGATTGTCATATTCTTTTTAACATAGTAAGTAAGCTGTTGTGTATATGCACAAGTATACGTTTAGAAAGAAGTAAATGGAGAATACATCCTATTTCGCGATGTTGAACATTCCGGAATTAGTTCTGCCCCCGGACCCCGTTCCATTCAATTCCTGGAACTCGATCATCATTCAATATAACAGATCTACTCGTCACTGACCGAGTTCCATCAAATTCCCGGAATTCCGTACCGGAATTATTTTCCGCCCTCATCCTCACGCATGGCGTTGTGACTGAAGATTAGCCTCTCGCATAAGTAAGTAATTGGAGTACGGAATTTTGGGAGTTGAGTCGAGAGGGAATCGCACGAAATTGGACGGAATTCCGTCTTATTCCGGAATTGGTGGAGATTCCATTTCCATTCAATTCCCGGGTTTCCGGAATCTGACGGAATTCCGCTCAATTCCGGAATTGCTAGGAATTGGCTGGAATTCCTTCTGGTTCCGGAATTACTGGGAATTTCGAGTAATTCCGTCTGGACTAAGTTTCGAGAATTCCGGGAATTGACGGAACTCGGTCAGTGATTAGTAGGTCTGTTGTTGGGAATGATGATTGAGTTTCCGGAATTGGATGGAGCTGGTTTTGGGTGCGGAACTGATTCCGGAATGTTCAATATTACGGAATAGGATGACTGGTCTAAAGTTTAAAGTAGCACTTTAAACTTTAACTTTAAAAAATTCAAAGTTAAAGTAAACGTTCTCCCATAAAACAAAATTTTTCTTGAAAATTAATAAAAGTGAATAAATATTTCTGAAATTACCCATAACCCTTCATGGACTGTGCTACGGAGTCATCCATAGACAATCATCCACGATATAAAGGGTATACCATTTGGCCATCAACTGCTATATAATGAGGGTACCCTGTGTTCATCAACTACTATATCACGGGAAGTCTGCACAACAATTCATGCAGCATATTACACTGGCGTTTGCATGTCAACGTAGACTATATAGTGGTAGTACTCATTCGCCTTCATTAAGTATATAACTTGGTTACTGATAATTCTTCATAGATTTGATAACGAATTATTGACAACGATGCGGGAACAACATAAGGAAGTGTGGGAAACTCGTCAGCACCTATAGAGCAGGTGAATCAATCGTCCCCGTCGTGTCATCTAGTAGTAGTCTGTGCCTATACCAAGGGAGAAACAGCGGACTTTTAGACTTGAAATTACTTTGAGCTACTTCAAGTAGCTTACTTTGAAGTACTTTTCAACTTCATATCTACTTCAAGTTACTTGAAGCTACTTGTTCCTACTTTGAGCTATTTGGGTGGTACTTTGAACCACTCAAGTAGCTTACTTTGAGGTACTTTGGCATACTTTTCTACTTCAAAACCGCTGTTTTCCCCCTTGGCCTATACTCATGGCGTGTGTAGTATTTGTTCCCAGTCTTTGCTATATATCTAGGAGTAGTGACTTCCTGCCGGTAACAGCTTTGAGGAAATATATTACATGGCGCTTCAAGACTCATTACTTGATTTTTCCTAGCTCGACTGTGACTTTAGTCAATATGGGAGCTAGTTCTTCACCAGTATACAAAATCGTTGCTCTCATTGTTGTTTCATACCTTACCTTTATAACAAGCCGGAGCTGATCTGCAGCTTTTCAACTTTGGACTCCTTAATTGTGTCACAACATTTAGTCTTAGTAATCGTTAGCAGTCATCTATTATTATAATGTGATTGAGAATCAAAATAGTATGTTCTAATAATAGTGACTCTGTTATTAACCTTCTCCATTTGTTGAGAAACCCTCCAAGGTCCTTGTACGATCCAGAACCGCAATGACCTACATCAAGTTTTCCATAGGATCCTGCCTCAACTCCTGATAACTCGCGTTGCTGCTGAGGAATAGTTTGGTTAGACAAGCTCCTAACAGGACTTCGTCAGATTCCCGCCCAGACTTTTCCGTAGTTGTTCAAACATAGTACTTCCAGGATTTAGTACTGCTTCTTCTGAGGATCATTAGAAGAATAAGAACGACAATTTCCTCAAGATTCTGTCAAGTTTTCGTCAGATACAGGTTAGGAACTTCATGAAAGGATTCACTCTACCTCTTACGCACATCAGAAAGGACTATTAACATAAGAGTTTTTGTTGCAGCTAAGGCTTTCGTTTAACATAAGATTATCTTATATTCATATTCACTCTAGGTGTGCTCAAAGATTAACAGCTCTCCAATAGTTACAAACTCTTTAGGATCCTGATAGAATCATGCTTTCAGTTCTGTGGCGATTCTAAAATTTCTTGGCTACACACTTTTTCAACGGCACTCATGGATTCGTGGCAAAATCGTAGTTGAAATTTAATGGTAATATTGTGAGAATCTTAGAGTATGTTGGGTCAAATCATGTTAGAATCATCAAATTTCGTAGCTGCAACTTTTTTTCACAACTGAGTGACTTTCTCAGGAAAAAATATATAAATCCGGAGAGGATCTTTGATTTAGACGAAAAATGTCGAAAGAACGAAGGGCGAAACGTTGAAAGAGAAAAATGTCTTTGAGAAAAAACTATTGCAAAATTATATGCATATGACAACGATTGTTAAATGTTTTAGAGAATTCTTAATAGCAAAGGATATATTTTATAACATAAATCAGTGTTAACATTGTGACAGAGATCAAATATAAGTAATCAGTAAGATCGATAATATGTCATTTTTCTGTTTAGCAACTGTAAATGACAAACCATTTGACTATTCTATAATATTTTTAACACCATCATAGTATCATTCGCCAAGATTAACTCTACGATGTTTAATAGCAATTGTTTTCGCTTGTTTTTGTATTTCTCCTAAACCTTCACAAAACCGAATATCCATTAACTGTGTGCATTCAATACTCAGTAGTAGGAGTTATTTTATTCAATCTTAAAGAAAGTATTCACCTTCTATTCGTGATAATTTAGCTTTATGTGAACTAATCAATGAAATAGCTAGAGATTTTGTGGGTGTTACACCTGTTGAAGATGTAGGAACTTCCGCCATAACGATAGAACTTTCGTTATATGATATTTACTCGTGAAACTCTTTTAAGTAGTTTTTTATCAAGTAATTCTCATCACAATCATTACTGGACAAAAATCTAGTCTGGAAGCATTATAAAAATAAATAAAAATGAACTATAAGTGATTAGAGTCGCCATTTCCAGGAGACGTCATTTTTTCCGATATTTTTTGACTTCATTATTTACTTTTTGACATTTTCCCGTCAACCTGGAGCCTTATTGGTTCTCTAACGAATTCGGAATAGACACACTCAAGATTGTTAATAGATAAGCAAAATAAGAACAAATTGATGTATAGATATTTTTGCTATCTGAACGTATGAAATCGCGCTACTTAAACCAGAAACACATAGAGAGCACAGACCACGTCTACGTGGGATACAGAGATTATTTGAAAGACATCACTCTCATATTCAAAACAAAGGATGTAACACGATTAAAGTAGTAAGATTCTCAAACGGAAACCGATGAAGGGGGCATGAAGCGTGATCTCAATCAAAACCAAAAATTACGATGATGTTGTTAAGCTGTAAATGAAGAGAACGTGTAAAGCCCTCGACATATTAGAAGACCTCCCTTGGATAAACGCAACCAAAGACAGTTTAGAAGATACTCCTGAAATTTGATTTTGTTAATAATTTCTAAAGCTTTTTAATTTTTTTGGCATTTATTTATATGTTAATATTTACGTTTTTTTAGTATGGACAATATTTTGCTTTCATCGTCTTAGCAGCATGTCAGCTCTGAGTTGGACAGTCCATGAGAAAAAGCTAATAGGAAAGAGTAGTTAGCAAAAAAAAAATATTTTCTTTGTAAAAAAAAAGTGTTCTGAGATCACTTTAATGCTCCTTTGTAGCATGCTGTGAAAAAAATTGTTAGATTTTCTTTGCGAAAATATTCGTTTCAACGATTACAGGACCTAATTAATATGGTACGCTTCCAAACGTGTCACACATGAAGAGATCTTTCTGAAATAAGAACATCTTCGATAAAAACTCGTTGTCCATTAATTAATACGTTGCTTCGTCTGTGCACTTTCTTCTAGAAATTTTGACGTTCTTATCATGCAAGATCTCATTCATAATTGGAAAAAATGTATCTCTGAGTACATACAGTGATACGTGTCTTATGAAATTCCTCTCATATGTCCGAGGACGTATCTCTTTTCGCATGAAGATGCCAAGGTGCTTTTCGAAGCAAACACAAAAGATTCTAAAATCACTCTCAACGTGTATTCGATCGCACTTTTTCTGTAAATTGTTTCTTCGTAGACAACCATATTCATTCAAATTAGCTAGAAACTAATAACTAAACTGGTGGTACATTTCATCTTGAATCAATTCTATTTATACAAGCCAATCCTCAACATAAGCAGCTAACTGAAATAACTTTGATATAAAAAAGGTAAATTTTCTTTCGTTAAGCTATTGATATCTCTGGGTAAAAGTCTCTCTCTCATTGTTTCTATGCTATCATACTTTGCATCAAACTTATGTCATATCCTTATTTGATCATAAATTTGATGCGAAGTATGATAGAATAGAAATAAAGAGGGGGAAAGATTTCTGTCAGAGAGTGTAGTTATACAGAACATAAGTGCCACCAATGATAGATTGTATTCTTTAGGAAAAATAGTTCTATT